CTTTAATACATATGCACGCAAACTAATATCATCATTCAGACCTTTCCCTTGCCTTATCTTTCAGAGTACGGTGACCTGCAAAACAGGTTAGTCCAACATTTGAGCGTTAGACCATAAGGTCTAGTGAGTGTATAATCTCATACAACATTATACATTCCAAACAATCAGTTTAGAATCAAACCTATTCTGAAACATAAATGTATTTATGTTTCTCACGGTTACACCGCCAACTCATCATTCTCGCGGTTACACCGCCATCTTTTCACTCTCGCGGTTACACCGCCATCTCAATCGCAGTTACACTGCCATTATATCACTCTCGCGGTTACACCGCCATTATATCACTCTCGCGGTTACACCGCCATCTCACTCGCAGTTACACTGCCATTATATCACTCTCACGGTTACACCGCCATTTTATTACTCTCGCGGTTACACCGCCATCTCACACGCAGTTACACTGCCATCATTTTATTCTCGCGGTTACACCGCCATCTCACACGCAGTTACACTGCCATTATATCACTCTCGTGGTTACACCGTCATTTTATCACTCTCGCGGTTACACCGCCATCTCACACGCAGTTACACTGCCATTATATCACTCTCGCGGTTACACCGCCATCTCACACGCAGTTACACTGCCATCATTTCACTCTCGCGGTTACACCGCCATTTATCACGCAGTTACACTGCCATTACATTTCAAAAACATTTCTGAAAAACATTCTCTTTTCACCCGGTTTAGAAGTCCGGTCAAAACACTTTGAAATAAACCAACTCCCTTGTCTGGATTACAAGTCCGAACAATACTTCAAATATAACGTTGTCCGGTTTAGAATAAACCGGACGATACACCGCACACCCTTTGTCCAGTTTAGAGTATACCGGACAATACATCATTTAACCTTTTAACCGGTTTAAAGTATACCGGTCACCCCTTAGCCGGTTTATAGACTTAAACCTTTTTACACAAGCGGTTTAGAAATAAATCGATCACCACATGGCCGGTTTATAATGATATCCGGTCACCTCTTGACCGGTTTAGATGATACACCGGTCAAAGCACGAGCGGTTTTCTTATCCGGATATCAATCCGGATAACCCTTGAACGGTTTAAACAAAAATTCCATACAAAATGCTATAGGATTCATAGTAACCAGATCTAAATGCATACCAATTTGTATGAAAGCATTTCATATTCAAAGCTCTTAATACACTCACCTTTAGAATTGAGAATTAAAGCCTTTGAGATCTTCTTCCWGCACAATCCTCTTGATTTCTTTAGAGAGTAAACTTTCCAATAATAGTATGAAATGTGCACCTTCTCTTCACAAACTCTTTATATACTCAAAACATAAAAGAGGAGGGGTGGTAGGCGGCTCCTCTAGCCGACCTCCCCTCTTTTATATTTAATTAAAATTTTAAATTACAATATATATATATATATATATTACTCAAACACTCACACACACCACCATACATACATATATATATATATATAGGGGCAGGTTCAAATGCGAACCATCCAATTCTTACAAACCGTGTGAACCAAGTTCGACCAATAAGATAATTCCATTTATTTTTAATTAAATTTAATTGATAAGGTTATTTATGTCATTTTACAAAAAAGTTTGATAATTAAGGAAGTTAGTAATATATTTTATTTAAGGCAAATTTATTAGGAGAAAGTATGAAACATGGTAATGTTTTWAGCTTTTATTGTAATATATTATTAAAATCTTTAATTTTAAGAAATTGCAATTGAATGAGGATTCTGGTATCTTGTACAATTAAAAATATGAAGGTGTATGCAATAGATTCATGATAGTTCATGTATCGCAGTAACAGTGCTTGTGAATTTTTTTTAATGGAGAAGGTGAAAAATTTCGTTGGATAATAATTAATGAAATCGATTCATGGTAGTGAAACATTTTCATTTTCTTAACAAACTCGAAATCTAATGAACTACTTTCATTGAGATCCATGTAAAAATGTATATGAAGTTGTTGCGTTTAGTTGTTATAATAGTCATGATACTGTTGCATAAATCGTTTTGTTACTTTTGAAATTAACGTATCA